ATTACTAACACACACTTAATCATCAGCCAACTGCTAATAAAAGTCTCTTCTCATATGAAGAATCTTCACGCTTGCTCATGGCACATTGGCGAGTTATAATCATGAATTTAAGTTCTAGTTTCTTCACAATGTTTTCTATTATTCCTAATAGACTGGAGAAAAATCGCAATGGTTCGTGCTAGGTTTTCCACCTGCACCTTTACGCATGAGAACCGGTCACCTTAACCTCCAAGCCACTACAATATTTTTACTCACATAACTCTTAATATATTAATACTCTGTTGATACAATAACATTTGTTCAATGTAGATATTTGCAACGATCCATCAACGTTCATTGAAATTTTATAAAAGGGTTTTTATTATTACAATGATCAAACAAAGCCTTCAATCACCAAACCTGTCAGGCAAACACTCAATACTAAATTCTGTTATCTTTTTGTATAGAAATTACTGACAACTTAATGAAAATTTCATGATCAAATATGTGTTTGACATATTTTTATAAGATTACTAGCAGACCCAGCTAAGCGTTGCTGCGTTGTGGCTAAGGTAAATAATATTGTGACTATAAATTGAGATGTAAGCTATCCTATCTTTGAAGTTGAATCAAAATGCACTCGGAATTCAAATTAAATTTAAAATCGGTTTAGTAGTTTAGGAGTCTATCGCAGACAAACACGTGATACGAAATTTTTATATATAAAGATAATTCGATCACCTACCCTTACTTAAAAAGTTAGTAAGCATCTAAGATGAGTATAAACGCTTTGATACCGAGCCACGGTCAAGAGCAGGAGAAGGAACTTTAGTTAGTAAAAGTCTGACACTCCCTAAAGGTCTGACCTACCCAAGACAAGAGAATCCATTTTCATGATTTGCCTCCTCCTCGCCTCAAAAAAAGCATCACTAATGTTTTTGTCCAAAGACCAGTCCCAAAATCTATTTGCTGGTTGATTTGAACACTGTAAAAATTAATTTGACTTCATTTTCATACAAATTATATTTAAAATGAAGCTAGAACGACTAAAGATTAATGTTTAACAATACTTTCAGTATTTATACGGCGAAACAGTTTTGAACAAGTTTAAACCATGCCATACACAGAAAAATAGTCATAAAAGTACATACGTAAAACATCATTCTATTTCTAGTTTAATTGTGTTTCGCCTATAAAACTTTTTCGTGCAGTAAGCGGGTCACTGGACGCCCAACGCGGTGTCCACAACGTATTTGCATTCTGTTATTGGCAGTCCACTGTAAACATTCTGATTGGATGCTATATTCATACGAACAAACTAACTAAATAACTTCAGAACTGATTAAAGTTCAATCACAGACTAATATGAAATACCCCAGGTTAGTACGCTCACAGTCGTAGGAGATAAAACATTTATTTATCATAAACCTTAATACGATTCACATTACGCTCTATAAATATACATTTCAGATACTTGACATTTCATATCTCGTATCTATAAAATAAATAAAAGCCAGCGTCGCTTGACGACAACCGAGAGAAATTCACTTCATAGGAAACGCAATTTCAAGCGAACAAACAAACTACTGCCGTCTGAAACCCTTCCACTCAGTTTAATTACTTCACAAAGAATGCGTCGCGTTCGCTCGATGAGGAGACAAAATTAACGCTCTCAAATATTTAATTTAAATTTCCTCCCCCGAAAACGAATGATAACAGCGGGTTGGGTGGACTTGTGGCCGCGAGTGTACATTAAAACACTTTTTTAGAAGCAGAAGTGAAGCAATTCATTTGTAACGTAAGTGCTACGTAACGCGATGAGTTTCTTTTAGTTGATTCACTGGAACCAGAACGACGGTAAATTGAGTTTAGAGAAAAAGAAACAAGTCAAACGAAGTGAACAAATCGCGATCAATTTGCAAAGAAGATCCAGCAGTTAAGGATAATTAATTTTAGGATATATATTCTCTTGTAGTGTTTATTCCGAGCCCGTCGTGATTTATAAGTTTGTCTACGTCCGGCCAGGATCCTGAATGCAACGTATTTGTAAGGATTGTTTGGTTCAAACTGCAGCTCAAGAAATTCCAAAGTCAACTAGAACAGGTATAAAAGCAACAAAATGCCAAGAAATCGGAAAACGGCGAAAGCGTGTGCGCCGCTCGGTTAATCAAACTGTCACTTGAAGAATTCCGCGCGGAATCCTTCCCGAGAAAACTCCCCTAACTTTTGATTGCTGCGAGAATTCCTATCTACTTATACAGTTAGGGATTGCTTAATCACGTTCCTTAAGTTATACCTTCGCGGACTCAGCATACACGTAATAAATCCGTTGCTTTAATTCTTGTAAAATACAACTGAATAAAACGCAATTGCAATTAGATTAACATCTCGGCTGTTCATTATTCCGCTTTATTTAATAAGCAAAAGGCTGCCCTCATAGCCCCTTGGAGTTATTAATTAGAACAAAAATTCTGATCGTTCAGATTTTGTTCGCTAAATTGGCCACTCAAACTCGTAAAAGCCGTCCAAAGGAACTTAACGACGGTCAAAGAGAATAACCGCAAATAAGCTCCGATCTAAGGTCGTGGAAGAAAATTCCGTTTTCCTTAATTCACCCTAAATAGACTTTTGGGGATGCTGGTGCGATTGTTTACATTTTCGAAATAATCCGTTCGCTTTAAGAACAACTTGACGCTTTCGTACCGACATTTCAACCTCCCGCTATCTTTTCGAATCGGGGTCTTTGTTAATTACGAAACATCTTTTGATTCGAATAAAAGTATTTAGTTAGTCGGTTTATTTTTTTATTCATTACAAATGAAAGAATACTTTATATTTTATAATAAATGTTGCCATAGGAGATATTATATAAGCTACTGTCATCTTGTTAAAACACAGAACACACCGCTATAAAGTAACTGCACGATGTCTGAAACTGTAGTTTAATTGCGTGCAAATATCTAGTCCGTTAAATAGCTAAAGCAAACAAAAGTAGTGCAGGCAGGCGGGATGATATTCAGTGTAAACACCTGACAGTCGCAGTGGAGTTTTACCAAAGTGGCGGAGCGAGGAGGGTAAATAGAGTGCGCGAGCGACGCCGGCAGATGAGAAGGCGCGGTGACGTGGCGACAGCGACTCGTCGCACACTGTCAATAACAAGTTGCCAACTAACTCATAATTTTGAGTAAACTGCTTTCTTACGATGTCTACATATTGATGCCAACTACAACTACACGTTTAATATACAACTAAAATGCTTACATATTGTCATGATTTATCATTAATATACTGGACGTAGCATTTTAACAGTGGCGTGACTGCTACGCCGTAGCTGCAGCGTAGTACAGCGTAGTACGCTACGACAAACAGATTATTACGAGTATTAATTCAAACTATTCAATCTAATTTTTAAATAAGGATAGTAGGTATATGATGGATGAAAAATAATATCGCTAAACTGAAAAGCTGAAACTGAGTCCGTATTTTAAACTCAGTATAAATTCGATAGTCAAACATAACTCATTACTGAAACTGATTAGATCGTATCACATTTAACGTTCATATGGATGTAAAAGTTTATTTGCAACTAATGCAGCTCACCCGGCAATATATTAACGTCATTTCATTTATTAACGCGAACGTTTCATTAACCAAGGCTAATAATATGACGTCACTGTGCAGTTGACTGACTAATATGAATGATTTTATATGCAACTGCAGTAAATTTTGATTCGCAATCAAAATGGCTTTTGAACCATTTGCAGTGAAGTATGTTCTGGATCTGAGTAGTATATTGAATTGCAATATTCGTAGTATATTAAATTCGGAGCTGGAATTTTCATAAATTTTTGTTTTTTATTAAACAAAATCAATTACGTGTGGACGTTTTCTCTTTGAATATTATAGTATAGAAAGATTTTATTTATTTTTCTTTGGTTTTGTTTTAATTTAAAATAAGCTATATAAACATGTGATGCGCTTGTAACAAGTAAATCATTATCACTTTATTATCATACATTTTTTATTTAACCCATGGACATGGTGATTATGCAAATGCACTCGTAACATAATTGAAATACATTTGGTTATTGTTACCTCTATTACAAAGCTAAAGTCAGTGCTATGAGCCAAATGGCATATATACATATTTGAGAAATATTGAATATTTGAATAATATTCTCTCGGACGTGGTGGCCCGGAGGTTAAGGCGCCCGCTTTTCATGTATTAGGGTGTGGGTTCGTAACCTGGCAAGTACCAAGTAGTAGTTATATGTACTTTCTGTGATTATTTAGACACCACTGATATATGGTGAAGGAAAACATCGTTAGGAAACCTGAACTCATAATTTCTAATCCGTCATGAGCAAGCGTGGCGATCAATGCTCCAACCTTCTTCATGTGAGAGGAGGCCTTTGCTCAGCAGTGGGCACTTATAGGCTGATGGTGTGCGTGATATGATTCTCACGGTAGATAAATTCAAAGTCATAAACATAAAATCCAACTCAAACATATACAGGCACACTTGAAACAAAAAATGAGTACTACATATTATTCTGTCAGTCTTTTCGTCAGTGAAGCAGGCGCTCGTTCCGCAAGCATTCAGATGATATTTGGCTCACAGCACTGGCTACGTTAACCATCGTTCCGTTATTCCAAATATTATTCCAACACATTCTCTTTATTAGTGCGAAAAGCTATATATATAAAATAAAATGTACCGAGACCGTGTAAGTATGCCGAATGTGCGAGGCGCATGCACGCCATGCCAAATGCAAAGGCTTTGAGCGCCTATTTATAAACGCAAGGCGAAAATAGAATGTTCTCGAAATGCAACAAAAATGTGAATGAAACCACTCACTACGCAGCTCGCCTGCACTTTGAATATTTTGATATGAAACTAAAATAGCAAAGGAGGAAGCTATTTCTTGTTTCAGTTCATTCGGAATTTGGTACGCAGGTGAAAAAAATAGATTAATCTTGAACTGATCTTTTAAAGGTATTCTCGTTTCTTTTGTTAACAGTCCATCCATTGGTGCAAGTACCAAATCAACTGGTGGGTGCTCCGACAGGCACCGACGTCACCCTCCAGTGCCACGTCGAGGCCTCACCCAAGGCCATCAACTATTGGACTAGAGAGAATGGTAAGTTTAAAAATACGTATTTCTAAATCGTAGATCTGATGCCAATTACACATTCACTTCTTTCACTGGATCCAAGTTATGAGTCTGTAAGTGGTTAGTGATTACAGTAGTGAGTAATAAACATAAAAAAACTAAAAATTTTAAATTATGTACGCCCTAAAAATACTTACTCACTATGACAGAGGGACTATATTATAAGCATCATTAGAACATCCACGTTTTGATCATAACTTATCAAATGATATGTTATCCATAATATTTGTTAAGAAGTTAAATCAAAAACCTCGCTAAAATTACTTGATAATATACAATAAAACTTTAAATGTACTACTACTACTAATTTGTTAAGTGTTGTTGGCATTTAAAACGATTAATTGGGTAAACCTAGTGCCTAGAGTCAGCCAAAAGTTCAGTTTAACCTATGAACGGTTGCTAAACTAAGAACAAACTTAGATTTGTATAGGCATCGAGTGAATCTGTTAACTAAGTGCCTGTTCTCTGTGTTTGACTATTAAGGAAAAGCTGATACCACAAAGGATATTAATATAAAGGGTTTCTAAACCATGTACAATCAATTTTTACTAACCTACTAACATTACAGAAGCTAAAGAAATTTAAAAGCTAAATTCAAAGCCATTTGTTCCAACTAAACTATATACAGGTAATTTTGAAATGACAAAGATATGTATAATAGTTCAGTCATGTCAGTCTATCTGTATTTGAAGCTAGGTGCTTATTCCAAAATGAAGAATATTTTTATGACCTAGCCAATTTCACATTTAGTCAGTCAACATTCGGCAAAAATAGTATGTCCAACCTAATATTGGCCGCTTCTAATATTAGTTTGAAGACGTACAAATAACTTCTGATTAAGAACATTTTATTTAAAAGAGCTTCGAATTCAGAATTTGATATAAATCCCTCTCGTGATCAAATCTGTAGTGCCCTTTATCACAAAGCTGGCATGATATCATAGAAATGGGTTAAAATCATCCACTTCACCTAGGAAAATGAATATTCCTTTTTCTCTAGAATAATACCAGCCACTTCTCAAGTTAAACATTGACTTCTTGGTAGGTTTCTGCTTAATGAATTAGAACAAAAATAACTGCGAATAAAGGCGAAAAATACAGGGAAAAAGCCAAGTTTGAGCAGCTTAAATAAATCTTCTGGTGTTTAGTTTTATGGTGTCTAAAGTTGGACCTCTGAGTGGACTTAGTGTAAAGTGTGTGGACTAGAAAGAAACGCTACTTTGCTCAACATGTCTAGAAACTTTGCACTGCATATTGATTGCTTGAAACGGTAGTGTTTGAATATAGTTCATTCAGTCGGGAAGTTACTTTTAGGAATGTTTCAGAGAGACGGTGAGATATAATTGCCAAAAAGTGCACAAGATAAGATCAACGCCAACTTTTTTTTTTCATTTAAATAACACGGACAGAGTCTTTTAAGAAAATACTATTAACTATTGATGAGTGAAATTAAAATTTTAAATAGACTATTATTTAGGCACTTTTGAACGTTAAACAAAACGAAGTATAAGGGTAATTATCGTGAGACAAACTAAATTTATTGAATTAAATTAAACATAAGTTGCGATTTACTCGCGTAAACTTACTGAAAATACTCTTCTAGTTTCAAGTCACAACGGGACGCTTATTTTCTTAGTTAGTTCTCGTGGGTAAGCCGTTATTTTCAATAAATCGAAATTTTATTTTAGTTTAGGCTAGGCCACAATGAATACTTTATTTATCAACCCTAAAATCTAAAATAAAATGGTCCACATACACAAACCACTACAGAATCAATTCACGCTTCACAAATACGAACCATAGCTTCGTGTATGAACATTAGCCTCGCAAAAAAGCAGATCAAAAGATTTAATTGATATACGAGGTTTTCCTATTTCACGGACCGTTAATCAAAGTCCGAAATCAGTTAACCCAAGCTATAATTAGTATAATCTCTGATTGTGTTCTAAAGATGTTTACGGCTTGCATAACTCATAAAGTATATTAAGTACTAAGCACAAACCTCGTGAACGGAATAAGCAACTAATTTCATTATTCATAAAGCACATTGAAAGCGTTAAAGCAGTCATTAAAACGACCGTTTTTCATGTTTCTACTATCCTCTTTGACAGGCTACGGGGGCTAGTGCTTGCTTACAAGTTATTGCCTTTTTATGAACGCATTTAAAGGGAAAAATTATGCGGTTATTTCATGTCCGTTTTTCATTCCACTAAGATTTATTTTTACTTTGATTACATGGCGCCTATACCATGGCTTATTAACGACCTCATAATTATAGCCGCGATGACAACATAAAATATTGCCCTACTACGAATTAATAAATGATGCCTGTATATTATCAAAGAATTGAATAGTTCCGTTTTTGATAAAGAAATTGTTTCGAATTAGTTTTCGACACAAAAATGAAGTGGTAATTTTCGTTTATTACCTTTCATTAGAAGTCAATTGCGACTATTTAAAATTGAATCTAGTCACTAACTCTTACACAGTAACATTCCTATTTCAATAAAATAACTTCGTTGGAGCTCATTTCAGTATTATTAAGTAAGTCGGTTAACATAAATAGCTGACGTCAAAAGGCGAACTAAATTGGGCCCCAGTGAAATATAACCTGTGAAATACCTATATAAAAACACGTGCTAACTAATACAAATAAGGCTCTTAACCTAACAAAACATCGGAGAGGTCGGCAACTTCATTATTTCTCATTAAAATGACACCCGCAGGATAAAAGTTGCTTATTTAGTGTTTGGGTGACAGATGGACAAAAGCGCTCGAGAGAAGCGGAGGGAGATGTTCCAGAGATAAGCTGGATATTTACTTTACGTTTGTTTTATGTATGTAGATGTACGAAATAAAGATGAAATGTTAGAGATTATATCGAGACTTTAACAAACTGACCCAGCACCACACACGCCCTCATAAATCCAAATATTCATAAAACTGACAATGCAGCTGGCATTTGTATAATTTCGCAATGTTTATGTAATAGATGCAAAAAATTGACATTAGTTCAGAGAGACAGAAAAAGTGGCATCCCTAAATTATTTTCACAGTAACTGTATTTGAAGACAGGCCAACGCAATTGGAATTCGACATGCCGAAATACGTTTTAGTCGAAGCTCTAGTTTTCGAGTGGATAATGCGTTGCAACAAACAGCCGGCACGGTCGGCGGACAACGGCCGGCCACTAAAGTCGAGTTAGAAATGGATTTACGGGTTGCGGGCCGTCCGGCGCCGTCCAGTGCCGTCCTCCGGCGTTCGCAGTCATCTGCTGGCCGCCACCGCACCGCATGCCGCGACATGTGTGAACGGTCCTCGACCAAAGCCCCGATAAAACGAACAAAACTTTTTCGCAATGCGGTCTTTAAACTTATTTTTTTCGGTCTAATCGAACAGTTTATGCGGTCCAATGCGAGTGCAGTCAGAGTTTGTTGAAAGTTAGACGCATTCAAATTGAGATTTAAAACGATTTTTCCCGAAGAATATAAAACGATTTTTCAAGCGCGACTATGCTTTGCTTGCAAGACAAATTTAAGTGATATGTTTAAAAAAAGTCTAATAAAATTAATGCAATAAATATATAAAAATAGCACATTTCAGAAAGATACATAAACATGTCAAGCACTTTATTTATTTTTATCCAAGGCGGACTTAAATAATAAGGCCCTACTTAAATTAGGTAAGTAGGCATTCATTACAAAACAGCAAACGGAAATCCCATGTCTTTAAAAATATGGAAGCACAAAGCCGAGCTAGCGCAGATTAATATAAATGAACATTGTACACAAAAAAAAAAACCATATCAATACCACGACGTCTTTACGAGAAATAAACAACGAAATTTATTTACGCTATAGGATTAGTACGAAATAATTGGTTATATCGTAGCAAGCCGACGCATAGTGCAGGCAGATTTAGATGCAGTTACAAAGGCAACCGAGCTCGCTATTACGCGGTCGAAGCGACCACCCGCGCAAAAAGCGGACCAAATTCTATTACCGCCCGATATGCAACAAAGACCGCTGGCCCGCCCGCTTCAAATTGCTTTAGGGTACAGTCACAATATTTACTCTCACGTACGTACCACATATTCGTACAAATCTAAATTCAATTTCAAATATTACTCGCCAACACTAAACCGGCTGGATTTATGCAGTTTTAGTTTTCCATTCCAACTACACAAAACACGTGCTCAGTTGATACTCACAATATCAAAACACCGACTACCTAATTATTATTATCATGCAAAATAATCTTACAAAAGATCACATTTAGGAGTCCGCTTTTGATCTCTCGCACTTTCTCCCTCACGCATTTGCACATTTAAATATTCATTATACCATATTAATATTCATTATTTTGACAGCATTCAATTTTTGTATGATCTGCAATACGGCAACATTTTAACGCAAAGAATAAAACTTGGTAAGATTACAAGCTAAAACGTGATGAATGTAGAGTCGTTATCACCTCGTGTAACTGCGAAACTTTTTGAGCAATTTAACAATCAAATTCTAAAGTGACGTATGGCACATATGTTTCGACCGTTAGCAACAAACAGAGGGGGTAGACGGCTCTTCTGCGGCCCATAAATTGCGGGGACTACAAATTAAATTAGGTAATACACGGCCGTGACGAGATGGGACAAGCGGCGTGCCGGCCGCACCGGACATGGAATGGGAGTGTCCGCCATTCGCAGCCAGGCCTTGCGACAACTTTTTGTTGTAATTTCAATCGGGTTTTATTTAAATAAAATTGCATACTTTACCATCGCGATGTACATGGTACAGGTTATTTTTTGGTAAAAAAAATTGAACAGAACATTTTTTATTTATTTATTTGGGTTTTTATCTTTAAATTGTGCTGGAATTGGGGCCCGTTATCATGCATTAAACATGCTCTTTGTATATACTGTGGTAACCCGTTTCATAAGTCGTAAAAACGAAATACAAACAAACCAGACTA